TTTAAATCTCACCCCATCTCGCTTGGCTGCGTGATTTCATATTCATTTCCAAGGGTTGTCCTGTTCTAGGGACAACCAACAACCAACAAGACAACCAACAAGCATAGAAACACAAAACATCAATAATTCGATACTTTTGAACCATCGAGCCTTCGGCGCTTCCTCTCGTTTTACTTCTTCCCTGTACATAGGCGCCTTCGGCACCTAAGATAGCCCACAGATGGCCCATTCCTGGTAGAGGCACTGCCAGCCAAGACGTGTGCTCTCTCGTTGCCTTCCACATCAGCATGCCCTGGGACAAACATAAAGGTGATTTTGCGAAACGCTGCATGCAGTATTCGATGGAGACACCTTTTTCGTATATGCCCTGCATACAGGTATACGTATATCTTCTTTAGCATGCTCATGAGTCGCTGAGAAAACATTCATTGGTGAATTCTTGGGTTTCATCAATTCTAGCGCCGTTGTCACAGCCATGACCTCTATTGTCATGCTGCTGATGCAAAGGCTCCACTGTCTTCTTCGATAATATTTCTTTTAGTTCTTGCCGTGAACGCTTCTGACGAATTACAGAAGCATCTGTAAATATAACAGCATTTTCAGGTGATGTGTGTTCCTCCACTGAAACTTTCACTTCTGCATCCACTACTGATAACACCAAATCACGGTTTTGTCTTGTCAGAGTGATGACCACCACAAAGTACTGTTTACATTCGTTTGGTATGGGTGTCCATTCCTCTGCTCGGTTCGTTTTGAAGGGAAATCACCAGTTGAACGACCCAGCTAAAACTGGCCTTATTTAAGTTTGTTGCTTGTATGTGTATTCAATTCATCGTGCAATGGATGTGCACAAACCTCAATGATTTTGAAGTAGGCACACGATTAGCGCTTTTCAAGCCTGCTGTTTATACCTGGAATAATAATTTTAAAAAAATCAAACCCTGATAGAGGTATGACTAAGAAATGTGTTTGTTGACCACACTTGGCCGATATAACTCGTATTGTAGCCAAACCTATTCTGGCCTTGCAGATCATAGTATCAACTTCGAATGTGCGGCTAAGGCTTCGATCAGAACTCAATCCCAGGTATTTTAAAAATGCAGTCCTTGCAATCTCTTCACCATTCATATGCAAAGATGGTGATATTGTATGTACTATGTGATTGTTAAAAGAAAACCAAGTTGCAGTCGTAGTAAATTATTATATTTCAATTAAATGTTTATGTTTATAGATTTAATATTATTTTAGGTATATTAATATATGTATTTGTTATCTGTCACATAATTATTATTATCACAATATATTATTATTACAATTTATATATGTTAAAGGGCGCATAATAGTCGGGGGGGGGGGGGGGGGGCTCTAAAATACTGTGTAACTTGAGCCTTCAGGTTTTGACGCCCATGCAATCTAATCGTATATTACATGACTCTAGAATGTAGGGGTTTCTGTACATCGAGTGCCCCACCACGTTAAACAATAAAATAATTGATAGGGGTCTAAGCACAATCTCCACCCCCCCCCCCCCCCACCTTTGGACTATGCACTAAGGTTCTGTATTTAAGTTTGTGTTTATACATTTGTTTGATTTGTAATATATTATGGTATTTTTGTTAGGATATTATTATTATTATTATTCACTTAATCAAGGAGTAGGCTTTTGAGTGTGTGAGTGAGATTCAACCCCACGAGGACATCCACCAAGCGATAAACACCCGGTGACACAAAGTGCTACCATGCGGATGAGGATCATCCGTGGAGAGATCCTGAAAACCCCGTTGAGCCCTTAGGCCATATCTTCCCCCCGGCAATATTCAGAGCCCCCGGCAAAAACCAGGCTGGGGTTTCAAATAACAAAAAAATTGCATCCCACAAAGGGACGACTTCGAATGATATGACTATATGCCATAGGCCCTATCTATCTTCTTTTACCCCACCAGGACATCACACAAGCGATTAAGCACCCGGTGACACAAAGTACCACCATGTGGATGAGGATCAACCGTGGAGAGGTCCCAGAAACCGCGTTCAGCCATTAGACCATATTTATGGCCAGGCTATATTGCGGCCCCTGACAAGAGCACGAGAAGGGCTTCAAAAACGAAAAATTGCATCTCACAAGGAGATGACTAGATCATAATAACAATGCCATTGGCTGACTGACTGACTTTCTACCCCACCATGACATAACGCAAGCGATGAACACCCGATGACACAATGTGCCACCATGTGGATGAGGATCACCGTGGAGAGGTCACAGAAACCGCGTTCAGCCATTGGGCCATATTGCTGCCCCTGGCAAGAGCCAGAGTGGGGCTTCAAACAACGAAAAATTGAATCCACAAAGGATGGTAAGATATATGTGCATGCCATTAGCACCCCGTCGCGAAATTTATAAGTGAGGCTGGGTCCCATATTTACATTGTGTTGCGGCCCTGCATCCACTATTCGATATTTTTTTTTTTTAGTCAGTACACGTGTGCTACCTATACCTGGTTGAACAGGTATCTGGAGCTTGTCCTGTAGGACTGCATCCATGATGTGACTCTTAAGGTAGTGAAACAAGCAGGCAGCAGCGGGCAGACAATGGGGGAAAAAGGTCAGTAAAAGAAATACAAACACTAGCGCCAGTAGCCGGGCAGCAGATAGAACGGTTGTATCCCCTGTAACTGACACACACAGTGAGCCAGCGCTGCTGAGTTCCACCTCCCTCATCATTGTCTCTAGCGGACGGCCTAACCAATGAGCTCTTGAAGTATCGATTTTTTCGTTAATCTATTCAACATGGAGCCTGAGTCTGCTCTTCTCAGTTCAGACGAGATTGTCAATTAACATACGTTACCCAGCTGCCGACATCATGTGGAAAACCAGTTTGTTCACTCTTTAGTGTCTAGTGTGCTATATGATCCGCTGGTGCTCATTCCATGTTGTGCCTTGCATCTCCCTGCAACACCGTGATCAATGAATTCGACCGAGACGTTCGGTTCGTGTCCAGAGGCTTCAACATGCTAGCCTAATAATAAACCAGCAATTGTGAGTAAGCGCAGCCGCTGGCGCGCAGCTTCCACCGATCGTGAGCAACTGCTAATTTACCACAGGAATTTTGTATGAGAAATGGACATTTGTCGAGCCCTGGGAAACTTCCAGTCTTCGTTATAAGGTAGCCTGATTCCGTCGGCAATGGTGGTGTAGGGTTCATC